TCCAGTTCAAGTCCAGCAACGTATGGCCAGTGGATCAGAATGAGTTCACCAAGTTTGCATTTCGTCCGGTGCCTAGCCAGGACGCATTGACGATCGACTTCGCAGGGTTTGGGTGGAAGGCGCCACCCCCGAACGTCGTGACTGCGTTGGCGATTCCTATGGTCGATGCCACGGTTGGGTTCATGGCGATGTGTGGGGTGCTATTTCTGGCTTTTGCGTTGTGTCGACCTCCCAAAAGGAAAGAAAAACAACCGCTCGCGAGCTCGAGCTACCCCCAATATCAGTATTGTGACTATCAATTTGAGCCGTGTCGCCACAGCTGATGAGCACTGTAGATAGATTTACTTGCGTAACAATATTTGAAATTCTGTACATTCTTCTCCATTGGTACGGAGTATCTTGAATTTGGCCACAGCTAGGGGGTCCTAGCACCCCGACAAGATGCAAATTCGAGTGCATGCAACACGATTCTTGCTGCCTTCAACGATCCAACCATTCGCACTTTGCTGATACACACGCCTTGCACACATAGCGTGAATATCAACTCTTAACAGAGCTTTCGACTAAAACATGCTAGCCCACAGTCATGTGAATGCCAATGAGTCGAAAGGGGAGGATCACACAAAACAAGGCGACCATCGAGTTCTTGCTCAGGCTCAGGTTTGCCAGCTTTGGCACCGTAGAGAACGAAAGCTGGTCGAAGCTGTAAGGAGTTGTCTCGACCAAGTTCGACAAAGCGCTAGCCCTCGAAAACCATTCTTTAACGGCAATAAGTATTCGAGCCAGACAAATTACATGGGGGTGGTGTTGGAGTTGATGTAGAACCCGCAAAAGATCACAGGGGGGGGCTACCGGCACCCCGAGGATTTGGGTCACATCCGGACGGCGGGTGATGCACCCGGCCATGTATGTACCCGATGCCCCCCACCACGCTGCAGAGGGGCGACAAGAAAAGGTAAAACAACTGGCACCCAAAGTTCATAGACTACACTGGCACCAGAAACACCAGCGTAAAAGCATAGCTTTACGGGGAGTTGTATCAATCACCATTGAGAAACCATACTACACCTTTTTTCGGTTAATTTCAGGACCTCACCATACTTTTTCGCGAAATGAACAACCAATTCGCGGCGGTTCCACTTCGTTCGTGGTATATTCGTTCTATTTCGCCTGCAACCAAGAAGGTTGCAGTATATTTCAAGGGGTGTTCCTTATATTTCACTGTGTATGCGCTCAATTCAGCGAGTGGCTCAATATATTTCGGGGTGCAATCGATATATTTCGAGCGAAAATAGAAATTCAACCGAAGATCTCGCGGACTTTCGCTCATTCTTCAAAACGACGGTCGATGGAACAAGCGCTTATACATTTGCAGATGTAGACGTGAATCGCCTGCACCGTTGCTCGTTGCGGCTCGAATACTTCTACGGCCGCGGAAAACATGGAAGACATGGAAGTTGGAGCCTGATTGACCAACAATTGCATTTTACGTCGAAAGTCAGATTGAATTACATTTTTATTGAAATATATCGATTGCACCCCGAAATATATTGAGCACTCGCTGAATTGAGCGCATACACAGTGAAATATAAGGAACGTCACTTGAAATATACTGCAACCTACTCAGTTGCAGGCGAAATATAACGAATATACAACGAACGAAGTGGAACCGCCACGAATTGCTTGTTCATTTCGCGAAAAAGTATGGTGAGGTCCTGAAATTAACCGAAAAAAGGTGTAGTAGCAGCTACCGTTCCCTGTACCTGGTACTATACAGTACATACGTCGTACTATAGTATCGACGGTTGAATTTCCTGCGACGACACGTAAGATTTGCAGTTCCAGGTATACTAACTAACGTTACGCTGTACTATTAATAGTACTTCGTATTTCGAGTAGTACTACGTAGTAGTCTCATGGACCTCAGGATGTCGAGCCCAAACGTAAGATTTGCGACATCGAAATATATACGTTACTGCTGGTGTTGATTCCTTCCTACATACATTCGCAATCCATTGGTTACTAGTACCTTGGTAACGTTACAAAATGTATGTAGTTCAAATGATTGTCACGAGCTACCAAGATATATATCTCTACACTTCTCAGTAAGCATCACTTTTGAGGTCGCCACCTCGACGCAATGCAGCAATCTACTTGGACGACGGACAGCAAAGCCATCCGTGGAATAATGTTATATCGAATCCTAACGAATCCTAAACTTAAAATGGTCCTAGGGGAGTTAGCTCCCCTAGGACCATTTTAAGTACGTCTAAGACGAATAAGTATATTTTGACGTACGTCTAAGTCGTACTTAAGTAAATATATATTGAGCTAAATATAGACAGAACAGAATCGCCCCTCCTCATGTCGCTCAATAAAATTTCTTGAACATTTCTTCTCTTGATTTAAGTAAACAGGTTTCAGACAAATTAGTCCATTCGTACGTCTTAGGCGTACGGTACGTCTAAGACGCATTTTGGTCCTAGGGGAGTTTTGCGTGGAACGAAACATACCGGAAATAGTGTATACGTATATTAATTCTAAGTACAGTAGTAGTATGCGACATACCAAAACATAGCAGTGTGTATCTCGTTCAGTGGTTCCATTTTACATACATTCGCGATTTATTGGGTGCCTTGTATAAAATGTA